GTGTGTCAGTTTGTGTGTCTGTATGTATGTCGGTGTGCCAGTCAGTATGTCTGTGTATGTGTCAGTATGTATGTCTGTCACAGTGTCAGTATGTCTGTCACAGTGTCAGTATGTCTGTCACAGTGTCTGTGTGTGTGTGTGTGTGTGTCAGTGTGTATCTGTATGTTGTCAGTATGTATGTATCTGTGTGTGTGTGCCAGTGTGTATACCTGTGCATGTATCTGTATGTAGCCAATGTGTGTATCTGCATGTGTGTCAGTGTTTGTATCTGCATTTGTCAGGTTATGTATCTGTGTGTCTGTATGTTGTCATTGTGTGTGTCTGTGTATCTGTATGTTGTCAGTGTATCTGCGTGTGTGCATCTGTGTGTCTGCATGTGTGCCAGGTTGTGTGTCTGTATGTGTGTGTGTCAGTGTGTGTAAATGTGTCTGTATAGCTGCATCTGTATGATTGTGTATATCTGTGTATCTGCAAGTGTTTCTGTGTGTGTATGTGTATCACTGTGTGTGTGTGTGTGTTTGTGACAGTGCAGGTGTATTTGTGCATACATCTCAGCATTCAACACTACACGCAAATACACACCTGCATTCAAACTTCAACACTACATATAAACACACCTCTTTTTTTAAACAACAAAATTATATATAAACACACCAGTGTATTCATAAACCAACACTACACATAAATGCATACTTGCATTTAAATGCCATCTGCCACATACAAACACACCCCTACATTCACACAAACATACTCCATACAAAAACATGCTTACACTCAAACACACAAATACTGCTCAGTGCTAAATATAACCCTGCATGCATAGGAAAATGGTAGCGCCCCAGCTGTCAAAGCATTGTTGGAGTTGCATGACAGATGGGGATCTACCTTTTGCCCCCTCTTGCCCAAAATAATTCATGCACCAGAGCCCTCTCTACTTTACGTCCGCCTCTGCGTTGGGGTGGGGGGCATGATTGCATGCCAGGGAGGGGACGACCGGGTTCAGGGGGCCCAAGCAAATGTTTGCCCAGGGTCCAATCCATATTAAAGACGGCCCTGTCCATAGCAGTCTGTAACCGTAACTTTGTGAAATCTTTGTTTTGTGCAAGCTCATGATAAATGGTTGAGGATTGTGACGGGTACTCCAGATAGTTAAAATGACCAATGTTTTTAAAAACTCTTAACATTTTATCTATGCCGTTACCTTGTGTAAAATCGTAGAAATGAAAACAACTCTTTATAATAGTGATAATGTTATTTTTTATTTTCTGTCTACTGGTATTTGTTTGCTAACATTCCGTAAATCTCTATGAGAAAACCGCCCTTTGCGAGTTTGATATGAATTGATTTTGACATACAGAACTGGGAAGGAAACCATGGCGGATCCAATGTCAACCTCTAGTTTTAGGGGTTGTTTGCTATGTGGTCCATAAAATCTGAGCAATTTCACCGTGAAGAGAACGTTTTCCTACTTAAGTACCCTAGTGCATTTATCCCACTGCTTTTGTTCTTCATATTACCATTTTCTTTTGTGAAGCTGTTGCAACTGTGTGGGGACAGCCAATTATCTATAAAGGTTATAATGGTCCTTGAACAAATAAACCCAGCATAAACCAGAATGCCCTAAAATGAATCCGGATCGCCTAAACTTCTAATCTAGATACCATGTTTACACTCAATATTGAATAAGCATGATTCTTCACTACAAACTTAAATTGTATTTATATTTTTGTTAGATGGCAAACCTGTTCAGCATTAATGAACATAACAAATATGTCACTTATGCTGTTAAATAAGTGATTAATTTCTGTTGAGATTGCGTTTGTAAACATTTAAAGACGTACTACCAGCTCCTCTTTTACATAAACATGCAGTGGAAACATTTGCAGTGTTGTGATATGCAGTAAAGCTAAATAATAAGTACATCTGCTACTCTCCTGGGTTGTTGATGCAGCCATCTTCTTGAGATGCCCTGTGCGCACATTTGTACAGGTAATTTTTATTTTATTTTCTGTGTGTGCATACGCATGTTCATGAGATGCAGTCAGGGAATCATAGGACATATGACATTTGCTTTGGATACAAGGCTTTGCCAGAACTTCTATTTGAAGCAATAGAAAAGGTTATTGATGAAAGAAAGAAAAACGAATTAACTAAGAAATTGATTTTACTTAGATATTCGAAGCTTCTATTACCATGAGAGTAATAGATTTTATCTAACCCGTTAAGAGGTGTGCCCATCATGCTGCAAATTAGTGCAATGGGGCAAAAAATATCTCTGCACTTATTATCCTGCCCCAGAATAATTCAACGTATACACAGTGGTTGTGGTAGTGGTATCAAGTAAAAAAGCTATTCTGTCTCCTCTGTGCAAATATATGTACAGCTTGGATATACATGTCCTCACCGGCTCTGTTCTAGATGCTATGCCTCAGTTACACATATATTGACACTGAAATACATCCCAACAACCCCATCAATCACTCTGGTCCCTAACCTGTGCTACGAGTGCTGGCTAATGAGTAACCAAAGCATCCACATGTACAAAGGTTGCAAATACACAAAAATACATCCTGCGCTCAAACACCCACTACTCCTGGGCGGCAGCAATGACCATAGTACACATCAGCATCAATACATACAATCAAAACAAAAAATTGATTGCTTTTGTATCACACAGCCATGTTACAATGCTGCCGCCCATCCCATGTGTTCCCTATTAAGGGTTAATAGGAATGTAAGGATTTATTAGAGTTTCATTAGAGATTTTTTGTGCCTGAAGCTGAAGCAAGCAAGATGAATTGTTTGTGTAGTATCCGGTGGGCTTACATCTAATGGCCATTGGAGTGGAACTAAAATTATATAATTATAAAATAAAATTATATTAATTATATAACTATAATAAAATGATTATCTAAATAATAACTTTTTTCTTTGGTTTTTATTGTATAAAGGTTGCTATGTAAAAAAAAAAACAAGAAACCAAGAGTGCCACAAACCGTAAGGTTCTCCTGTTCTCGGTCAACTATTTCTTCAGCATAGAAGCCTTTCCTGATTGGTGGAGACTGGGCCTACTTTTAGATAGTTTTTAGATTGTTTCCCCCCCCCCCCAAATATATATATCTATATATCTATATATAATCTAATTCAACTTGCACCATGTTTAGATGGAATTTAATTTGCTATTAAAATTAATGAACTTGTGTGTGCAATGACGTATACACTTTTCAATTTGATTTACTATTAAATTAAATAACCCTGTGTGTCCTTTTACATGACATCATTCCAGATGTGAGCAAACATTTGTCGCTGCGCTCTTTTTACCCTTATCTTTTTATTGATTCGTTTTCCTTGTGCGCTTAGCTTCAGATTGCTACGAATGCACATTGTGATTAGCAACACGCAAGTGACATTAAGCTCTCAGTGACCGCACTAAACTCGAATCATTAAAATAAATAATTGTTAGTCTGTTAAAAGGACTACCTCCGCCGCTCGTATTATTTTGCTCCCTGGTAGGAAATCCCTTTGTCTGACTGAACAGCTGTGGTTCTTTTTCTATTAAGGCTGGCAGCTGCCTACAATGTGGGTGGGCAGACTCACTAATAATATTTGTTAGAAAATGCAATATTCATATCAAGCATGGCCGTCTGAAATTCCCTTTTAAACTATGCAACTGCTGATCTAAAGGCAGTGATTTGATATGCCCTATAACTTTTATTCCAAAACACACCACACATTATTTCTCTACTAATGGTTTTCATTTCTATTGGAGGTTTTTAACTAAGGAGACTTCGCAGAACACAAATACTAGTGTTTCAAAAGAGTAAAATGTATTACAACAACGCTTTTTGCATTTTTTACACACACGGCTCTTACACTGACGATATAATTGTTGTGATGCATTTTAAGGTTTTGAAACACTAATATTTGTGTTCAGTGAAATCTCCTGAGTATAACATTACCCCTCATGTACAGGTTTTATGGTGTTTTCAAATGTTACAGAGTCAAATATAAGGCTTGTGTTTCAGTTTTTTTCACATTTTCAAATTCGCCAGACTGGTTACTTTGCCTTTGAGACCGTATGGTAGCCCAGGAATGAGAATGATGGTATACCATTTGCAAAAGTAGACAACACGAGGCATTGCAAATGGGGTATGTCCAGTCTTTTTTAGTAGCCACGTAGTCACAAACACTGGCCAAAATTGGCGTTCAAATTCGTTTTTTGCATTTTTCACACACAAATATTAATGCTAACTTTGGCCAGTGTTTGTGACTAAGTGCCTACTAAAAAATACTGGACATACTCCATTTGCAATACCTTGGGTTGTCTACTATTGCAAATGGTATGCCATCATGGGGGTAATTCTTATTCCTTGGCTACCATACGGTCTCAACGGAAACGTAACCAATGTGAATTCCAATGTTAAAAAACTGAAAAATGTAACATGTTATATTTGACCCTGTAACTTCTCAAAACACCATAAAACCTGTACATAGGGGTACTGTTTTACATGTGAGACATCGCTGAATACAAATATGTGTATTTTATTACAGTAAAAGCTAACCGTATTATGACATTCACAGTTAAAATGTCATGCAGAACTAAAAAAATAATCTCTTAATTTCTCACATTGTTTTATATTTTATTCATATTAAATTGTTTCATAGCTAATATAATGTGTGTGTATATATATATATATATATATATATATATATAGTTTGTATATTGTATTTTTGTTATATTGTATCCTTTGTAACAATGCAATGTTTTGTGGAGCCAGGACATACTTGAAAACGAGAAAAATCTCAATATATCCATCCTGGTAAAATATTTTATAAATAAATAAATATCGCCCCCCCTCCCCTTTTTTTTTTACTTCCTGTACAACTTCAATTGTTTTGTGAATTCAAGAAATTTCTGAAAATATTCTACAATGACTTTCATCTACTGTGATTTGAAGGGTTTTTTTTTGTTTGTTTTTTTACACATATGTGTTATATCTATACATAACTTTCTAGCTCATCCCAACACAGGATTGAGGTCTCGGGGCTCTTTGGCCCTTTTTTATACTGGTGTCACTCTTGTGTTTGTGAAGGCAGCTTGACATAAAGCCTGTTTTCTGAACTGGCATAAAATCATGCTGGAAACATCTATTTAAAAATGGTTTGATGTTGGACACAAAGGAATGCACATGTTCAGTAACAATGCATTGGTATGTTTGGCCAATAAAAACATGCTCATTTGGTAAAAGGGCCTAATATGTGGCTAGAAAACTGTCTGACACTATTATACTGTCACTAATTTCCACAATTGACTACATAGATGCATGTAATTGACACTATTTTCTGAGTGTTACATCAGAAATCAAGGAGACACCAGTTGTTACTGAGACATTGGAACCATCAGATTTAGTGGCAAAACTATGGTTAAAATGACCTAGATTCCCATATTTGTCAGTCTAATGCTTGGTCACCAGAGAAGTACAACTCTGGATCATGTCTGCTTGCTTGGTATATTAATCTGCAGCCATATAATCTACTGTTTCTGATACTGAGCAAATATATCCAATACAGGCCTTGTGTGAGGAACTGACTCTGCTGGGTTTCGAACCCTGGTTTACATGGTGCTAAACCTTTTCCTTACCAGTACACCAGCCTGCCTTTTGCACATTTACCTGAGATCTGATACTATTGTTTGTAGAGTCAAGGTTATCAGTGACAACTCACTTCAGCTGTGTCTGGTCAGGTGTCTGGTCCTTGGCCTATAAAAGCCACTTCCTGTCTCTGTACCTTTGCCAGATTATTGTGGTTCCTGTACTCTCTAATCCAGCGTGTTCCTGTTTCTCCTTCCTGTTGCTGAATTTGGACTGTTTTGACTTTGCTGCTTCTCCTTCCCACTGACCTCGGCTTGCCTCACTACGATTATCATCTTTCTGTTCCAGTCTCCCATCTCTGCTTAAGACCAGAAGGCCACTCAAGGCTCAGGGGCTCAACCACCTGGGTAACGAGTGGCTACCTCTGGCAGAAAACATTGCTGATCTGGCTACTGGACTCCAAAACTTTGTAACATCAATATCATTACAGAATAATCTGGCCTTTTCATGGAGACCGTCGGATCAGATTCTGCATTGGCCCAGCAGGTTGCTTTTAATGCAAGAACTATGCAGACCCAGGCACAGACCATTCAAGTGCTGCAGGATCAGGTAGCTGAACTGCAAAATGAAGTTCGATCAATGCATAGTGAGCTTACCAGCTACAGGGCACATGATGTTGCGGCTGCTGCTACTACTACTGTTACACCTGCACAAGATGCCCGCTTGCCTCTACCAGAAAAATTTGGAGGAGACCGCAAAAAATTCAGGGGTTTCCTAAATCAATGCCGTTTGCATTTCATGATGTTACCTAACCGTTTTCCATCTGAAAGAGAGAAGGTGGGATTTATTTTTTCCTCTTCAAAGATGAAGCCCTGGCCTGGGGCTCCCCTTTTCTGGAACAGGACAGTCCAATCTTGGGAAATTTAAAAGACTTTCTTGAGGCCATGTGCCTAGTTTTTGATGATCCCAATCGCTGTGCTACAGCAGAAGCCACTCTCCTTCATTTACATCAAGGGAGGCGCTCTGTGGCTGAATATGCTGCTGAATTCAGACAGTGGGTTACTGATACTACTTGGAACCAATCAGCCCAGAGGTTCCACTTCAGAAGGGGTCTCTCAGAAGCTATAAAAGATGAGCTAGCTCGTGTTGATCTTCCTGTTGAGTTTGATGCATTTGTGCGGTTGGCTATCCGTATTGATCGGAGACTTTCAGAAAGAAGATTGGAAAGACAGGGCTCTTTTAAACCAAGTGCTACTCCTACTTTCTATTCAAGAATTTCTACTCCGACCCCACAAACACCTACAGACTCTGAACCTGAGGCTATGCAGGTAGATCTAATAAGAGGGCCATTATCCAATGAAGAAAAACAGTGGCGACGCACTCACAACTTATGCCTGTATTGTGGTAGTACAGGGCATTATGCCATCAATTGCCCTAACAAGTCTAAAAGAACAATAGCTATGACTGCTGAGGGTGCACAGATTCAACACCAATCCCAGATTTCAGACCAACTGGATTCTGTCATACAACCCTTGTTTTCTCTGGCTCAGGGTGAAGAAGGTATGATGACTCAACATCCTCATTTGGTGGTGCCTATCACTTTGCAATATGGTAATAATAAAATTTCAACTACGGCTATGATAGATTCCGGAGCAGGCGGAAACTTTATGGACATTAAATTTGCAGCAGAAAATAAAATTCAGTCTATCCCTAAATCTTCACCTGTGTTAATGGAAACAGTAGACGGTTTTCCACTTACGTCAGGCCCGGTTACACATGAGACTGTGCCCTTAAAATTGATTCTGGAAGTGAATCACCATGAGTCTATATCTTTCCACCTAATTTCCTCAACACAGTTTCCAGTGATTTTGGGTATACCCTGGCTTGCTCTGCATAACCCACAGATTGATTGGAAGACTAGAACTTTGTCCTTTCCTTCAGAACACTGCTTAATGAATTGTCAACCCTCTAAGGCGACACCTGTTACCACAACAATTAATGAAATGGTTGCTACAAACTTAACCAAGCTTCCGCTACAATATCGGGATTTTGCAGATGTCTGTGATAAGAAGAATGCTGATCAGCTTCCACCTCATAGGCCTTAAGATTGCCCCATAGAGCTGCTACCTGGAGCTGCTATCCCATTTGGCCGTATATACTCCCTTTCTGAGCCTGAATTGAAAGCACTTCGTGAATACATACAAGAAAATCTTGCCAAAGGCTTTATTCGACCATCCACTTCTCCAGCAGGAGCTCCTATATTCTTTGTAGAAAAGAAAGATGGTAGTCTACGGCCATGTGTCGATTACAGGGACATTAATAAAATCACTGTTAAAAACCGTTATCCCTTGCCTCTCATTCCTGAACTTCTGGAGAGACTTCGTTCAGCTAAAATATTTACGAAGCTTGATCTACGGGGGGCATATAATCTGGTTCGTATAAAACCAAATGATGAATGGAAAACAGCTTTCAGAACCAGGTACGGACATTACGAATATCTAGTAATGCCATTTGGGCTTTGTAATGCCCCTGCAACTTTTCAGCATCTAATCAATGATGTACCACGGGATCTCCTGGATCAGTTTGTTGTGGCATATTTGGATGATATCCTGATATTTTCTGATAATCTTGAAAATCACAGAAAACAGGTCTGCATTGTTCTTGAGCGCCTTTGTACCCACCACCTATACATTAAACTGGAAAAATGTGAGTTTGAACAAACAGAAATTCAGTTCCTGGGGTATGTAATAACTCCTAAAGGTTTAAGTATGGACGCAAGTAAAATTAAAGCTGTGCTGGACTGGCCTATCCCCAAGAATGAAAAAGATATACAGAGATTTGTGGGGTTTGCCAATTTTTACAGGCGTTTCATTAAGAATTTCTCTGCCGTTATTACACCGATCACTGAACTTACACGTAAAGGGACTCCTTTTCAGTGGTCCAATAAGGCTGACACTGCATTTTCCTGATTAAAGACTCTGTTTACATCTGCCCCTATCTTGGTACATCCTCAGCCAGAATTGCCATTTACTGTAGAGGTAGATGCTTCTGATTCAGCTGTTGGGGCTATACTATCTCAAAGGACTGGACCTAAGATGTTGTTACATCCATGTGCCTTCTATTCCCGCCAGATGTTACCAGCAGAAAGAAATTATGACATAGGGAATAAAGAACTTTTGGCTATAAAAGCCACCCATCCAATTACTGTCCTCACAGATCACAAAAATCTGGAATGTATCCAATCCGCTAAGAGACTGTCAGCCAGACAAGCACGCTGGTCCCTATTTTTCTCAAGGTTTAATTTTTTTATTTCATACCGCCCTGGTTCCAGAAATGGCAAGGCGGATGCTTTGTCTAGGATAGCTGACCCCCTCCATACTACAGTAACCAAGGCCACCATCTTGCCGGAGAGCAGATTTTTAGGAGTTACCTTTCCTTCTGATCTAATGTCTCGCATTAAAAGGGCTACTCTAAAGATCCAGTTTTTCGTGATCCTCCTCGTGATCTTCATATGACCATGCTTAATGGGTTTTGGATTTTTCAACAACGTCTGTTTGTTCCAGAATCAGTGCGACTGGACGTTTTACGCCTCTACCATGACTCTAAACCAGCAGGTCATCCAGGAATCCGAAAGACACAAGAACTACTTACCCGATCCTTTTTGTGGCCTAAATATTATGAGGATGTTAAGAAGTATGTGTCCTCTTGTGATGTATGTGCCAGACATAAGACTCCTCGCTCATCCCCTGTTGGCTTG